GCTCTTCTTGCAACCGGTCTCGCTCTTCCTGCAACCGGTCTCGCTCTTCCTGCAACTGGTCTCGCTCTTCCTTGACAGCTGCAACCTCGGCTCGCACGACTCCCATCTTCTCCCCGTGAAGCTTATTGAACCTTTCCTTGGCATCCTGTCTGGCTGCCCGGACTGCAGCGTTCACAGCCTCATCCTTGTCGGCAGCCTGTACCCCCTCAGCAGACTGGGCCTTCTCGTTCAGGCTGGCGATTTGCTCGGTGAGCCCAGCGACGTGCTCAACAGCCTGGTCACGTTCTGTTTGCAGGGTGTCGAGCTGCTGCTTGAGATCTTCCAGCTCCTTCGGGTCGATGCGGTCGTATCGTTGGAGCACGTCCTGATGGCGCTTCTGCCAACGGTCACGGTCCTCTTCAACAGCCTTCAAGTGTCCCTGTTGCAACTCCATCTCGCCTTCCAGTTCTGTGACACGGGTCTGCAGAGGCTCCAACCGGCTCTGTAGAGCCTCCATCTCCGTCTTCTTCTCCGCAAGGTGAGCCTCGATGCGGCGGTTCTCGTTGCGCAGGGTGGTAGTGCTCTCCCGGTAGACGTTGAGCTGCTCGATTTGAGTTTGGAGATTTTGCAAGTTGCTGCCGCCCTGTTGAGCCTTGGTCTGCTCGACAATGAGCTTCTCCCGTGTCTGGTCGAGCTGTGCCTGGAGGTGGTTGAGCTGCTGCTCCTGTCGCTTGACCTCCTGATCCTTGAGGTTGAGCTGCACTTCCAGAATCTCCTTCTCACGACGAAGGTAGTCGTTGATCTCCTGTAGACCGCTTGAGTCAGGAAAGGACCTCTCTGCGTCGCCAGCGGCGGCAGCACGGTTGCTCTTGAGGGCCTCGATCTGCGCCTTGTAATCGTCAAACTGGCGGAGGAGCGTCTTGTTGTGCTGCTTCGCCCCATCGTAATCCCTCCTGGCCTCGGCTATCTGGCTCTCGAAACGCTCACGAGTGGTGGCCCAATGCTCCTCGCTCTGCGCCAGCGTGGCTTGAGCGGCTTCGGCCTGCGCCTTGAACTGCGCAATCTCGCTCTTCAGCTCCTCGTGTTCGTCGCGGAGGTGGCGCAGGCTCTTCATAGTCTCGCCGTGCTTGGCGAGCTCGTGCTCGTAGTCGTGCTGGGCGCGAGTGGCGATGTCGGCCTGAGATGCCACCAGCTGTGCCTGGTTCTCGACTTCCGCCTTGTAATCCGTGACCTGGTCCCTGAGACGCGCAATCTCGGTTTCCAGAGCGTCCTTTTGCTGGGCGAGGCGAAGGGTCTCCTGCTCGTGTTGACCGCGAAGTTCGGTCAGCTCCGTGTTGGACGTGGCAAGCTCGCATGAGATGTCGGCAACGCGCTGCTGAAGGTCGGCGATGGTTGCATCCCGCTCTTCCTGGGTCCTGCTCATCTCCTGCTCGTACTGTTCGTGAGCTTCCAGTTGGCTGCGCAGTTGGTCCTCGGCCTCCTGGGCAATCGCCTGGAACGTCTCGATTTGGCCGTTGGCGGCTTCAAGGTCGTCTTGCCTACGCTCCATCTTGCGCTGCAATTCAGCGACCTGTGCTGCCAGTTCTTCCTCGCGGTTCGCCGGCTCCTCGTTGTCGTCCGGTCCGCTGGTCGGGCGGGGGCGGGGGCGGAGCGCCTGCACGCGCTCGTCAGCAGACTGGAGCTGCGACTGCAGCTCCACCACACGCTGTTCGAGCTGCTGACGAGCAGTGTTGGCTGAAGCAAACTTGACGTCGGCTTCGTTCTTGGCCTTGATCAAGTCGTCAATGCGGCGTTGCGCGTCCGTTCGCTCGTAGTCGCGCTGCGCTGTGGTCTTCTTGTGCTCCGCCATGTCGTCGTCCAACTTGCGCTGCGTCGCGTTCAGCTCTGCCTCGAGCGCATCGACGCGCTCTTGGAGGCGGCGGCGGTTTTCTGCATTCGACAGCTCTTGCTCGTTTCGCAGGCTCTGCACATCCGTGACCATCTTGCTGAGGCGATCGCGCTCGTCGGCAAGCTCCTTGTTGCGCTCGGTGAGGCGCGCTTCAATGGTCTTCCACATGGTCTGCGATGCCTTGAGATTGACCATCTCGCGATCGAGGCCCTCGGCCCGCGCGGCGGCGTCGAGGGCTTCCTGTTGCGCCTTGTCGACCTTGCCGTCCTGCTTGGCAAGAGCGTCCTGGATCGCCGTGTAGCGCTCCTGCAAGGCCGTCTTTTCGGACTGGAGCAGCTTCATGCTGCCCTCGAGGGTTGCGAACCGATCGTGCTCACGCCGGACACTGTTTTCAAGCCGCAGCTTGTCGCTCTGGAGCTGGTTGCGCTCCTGGGTGAGGCTGTCGACCTGCTGCTTGAGGGTTGCGCGGTCCGTGGCGTGCTCTTCCCGCAGCAGGTCCAGGTGAGACTGGAGATCCTTGATGAGCCTCTCGTGGCCTGCGGCTTCCCCAGAGTGAGGCGTCTGATCCACGCGCATCGACCCCCCGGGCGGCGGTGTGGCGAAGCCAGCGCGGCTATCAAAGGACTGCCCAAAGTCGGGGGCTCCGTCGGCGCTGAGGTGGTGCTGGCGATTCGTGGTGATCCGGCGGTACATTTCGCGCTCCTTTGTGACGCTCTTCAGTCGAAGATTGAGCGACTGTATCTGCTCGTCCTGCTCGGCCAAGCGTCCGCGCAACCGCTCCAGCTCCAGCTCGTCCGTCTTGTGCTGCTCGGCCCTGTCCCGAGCCTCCTGTCCTTCATACGAATCGGCCACCTTCCGGATGGCCGCCAGGAGCTCCTGGTTCTTCCTTGTGCACGACTGGATGTCGTTGTAGAGGAGCAGGTGCTTGACGATGACGACACCAGTCGCCGTGGGTTCGTCAATCTGACTATCCGGCATCTCGTTGTTGTGCGCAGCGGCGTGTTGCACGCGCTCCTGCTGTTCCGCCGTGAGCGATCCCAGGCCCCTCTCCGCGGCCTCTTGCCGCCAGAGCAGGTACTGCATTTGCGTGACCGTGTCGTGCAGCTGCTGGCGGAGAACCGTGAGCTCGCGGTAGGCACCTTCCAGATCGCCCGCAGCCTTGCGCGCGTCCTTGCGCGCCGCCTCCCTGCCCGCGGTGGCTTCGTCCAAGAGGTCGCTGATCTCGGCCGTCTGGCTCGCCAGTGCTTCGTTCTCGTTGCGGAGCTCGTCAATCTCGGGCTGCGCCTGCTCGAGCGACTCGAGCATCTCGTGGATCGCGGCGTCCTTTTCCTCGCTCTTCTCGCGCAGCGACCGAATCTCAGACTTCAACTGCATGTTCTCCGAGTACAGCTGCGTGACGGACATGCTGCCCTTCAGGCGCGAGCCGCCGGGCGAGAAGACGCCCGGCGAGCCCGCGCGTCCGGGTGTTTCAAAGGCACCGTGCAGAGGCCGGCGCGGTGTGCCAGGCATGCGCGCAGCGCTCTCGAGCTCCGACACCTGGGCCAGCAGGTTCTCCTGTCCAGACTCCAGCTCCGCAATGCGGCCCTCGGCCTCGGCCGCCTTGCTGCGCTCCGACTCGACCTCGGCCTGCAGCTGGCCCACCTCCCGGGCAGCGTCCTCGTGCGTCTGCTCCAGCTCCGCCTGCAGCTGCTGCAGGCGGCCCTTGACCAGCTCGGCGCTCTCCTGGTGGAGCGTCGCCAGCCGGCGTGCGCTGTCGAGCTCGTTGCGGAAAGCCGCCTGGTTCTGCGCCGCCTCGTCCTCGAGCCGCTCGATCCGCGCACGGGACTCGTCGGCCGCCTGCTCGAGCTTGGCAATGTGCTCGCGGAGCGTCGTCTCGGTGCGGCCGAGCGCGTCGATTGTCTCGCATGCCTCGGCGTTGGCCCGCTGCAGCTCCGACACCTGCGCGTTCTTCTCCTTGCGGTACTTGGTCTGATCGGCAGAGCGCGTCTTCAGCTCGCCCTCGAACCACTCGTTGTTCCGGCGCAGGAGCTCAATCTCCTGCTGCAGGTTGGTCTCGCGGAACTTGACGTTGGCCGCGGCCCTCTCGAGCTGCTGCCGCGTCTCGTCGAGCGCCGACAGCTGCTTGCGCACGTCGACGTACTTCTGGTGCTGCTCAGAGAGCTCCTTGGCAAGCCGGTCGTGGGCGGCCGCCTTGGCCTCGTGCATGGCCAGCGTGTCGCGGTTCTGCGACTCGAGCGCCCTGATGCGCGACTGCAGCGCCTGCACCTCCGACGCGGACCTTGCCGACGCGTCCCTGACGTCCTGCAGCGCCTTCTCGACCTGCTGGCGGCCGACTTCTGCCGACGCAACGTCAGCGGGCGCTCCGTCGCGTCGGGGCGAACGGGGGGGGGTGGGCCGACACGTACCTTCGCGGGCCAGCTTCTGCTGCAGCTGCTCCGTCTCTCTCTGCGCCCTGTCCGCCGCCGCCTTGAGCGCGCGCGCGCAGGCGTCTCGGCCCTGCACCGCGGCTTCGAGCTCGACGTCCGCCTTGATCTTCTCGCTCTGGAGGTCGTCGTGGGCGCGTGCCTTTGCCTCCATCTGCACCAGCAGCGACTGCACGAGCGCGACCGTCGGCTCTGCCAGTAGCGACTGCAGCGTGGGCTCCGGCAGCTGGAGCGACGCGGCCAGGTAGCCGACGTCGACTGCGGCGGCCGCCATGGTGTGTTGGGTGGTGTGTCGCCGGGCTCAGCGCATTATCGGGGCCGTGTGCGGTGGGCGCGACGCCGAAAACAAGGTCTCGGAGACGTGTGCGGTGGGTGCGACGCCAAAGACAAAGGTGGACGCGACGCCGTAGACAGAGGTGGACGCGATGCCGTAGACAGAGGTGGATGAGACGCCGTAGACAAAGGTGGACGCGATGCCGCAGACAAAGGTGGACGCGACGCCAAAGACAAAGCAAAGGCGGTGCAGACAATGAGGTCGCCTCGTCGCGTTGGTGGGAGCTTCGAGTGTTTGACGCTGCGTCGCGCTAGCCGCGTTTGGGCCAGGCGGTCCGTCGGTCGACTCACTTGACTTGCCTCGTCGCCTCTGCAGTCTCCCGTCCCGACACGGTGCGAGTCTTTGACTAGACGCTGCACACTTTGACCCGCCCGCCATGTCGTTCCTCGCCGTCGCCGCGCCGTCGCCGACGCCGTCCAGCTCGTCCGCAAATGGGGCCAAGCGCAAGCGCGACGGTGCCCAGCCCGTCTTCTCGCAGCCTGGCGACGTCGGCACCGGCGAGCACGTCTACACGCAGTTCAGCTATGCCAGCGACTACCTCAAGGAGAACCTGAAGCGGGTTCCCTTTGAGGAGTTGATGAAGTACCTGAACGTCAGAGAGGACCAGGCCAACTGGAAGCAGCTGCGCCAGCTCTTCCACTCCCCGTCGCCGGAGAACCGCATCGGCTTCGACCACGCCACCGGCATGTACCACTACAAGCCGCGCCTGCCCATTGCGAACCCCTCGCAGCTCAAGGCGTTTCTCCAGGCACAAAAGTCGGCCCAGGGCGTCACCATCAAGCTGCTCAAGGACGGCTGGCCCGAAGTCGCCACCGAGATCAAGCCCATGGCCGAGAAGAAGCTCATCCTGCTGAAGGAGACCAAGGACGGCGTTCCAAAGACGGTCTGGGACAACGACCCCTCGCTCATGCACGACATGGACGCGCAGTTTATCAGCGACTGGCACAAGATTGCCATCCCGCCCAACCCGGACGACATGCGCAACACCCTGCTCAACGTCGGCCTGAACGTGGCCACGGCCCCGCGCGTCATGGTCGACAACACCCCGAAGCCCAAGAAGAAGCGCGCGCCCCGCAAGAACGGCAGGGTCACCAACACCCACATGGCCCACGTCCTCAAGGACTTTTCCAGTTTGAGAAAGTAGCCTATTCAGTTTGGGGAAGTAGCCTTTTCAGTTTGGGGAAGTAGCCTTTTCAGTTTGAGAAAGTAGCCTTTCCCGTTTGAGAGAAAGTAGCCTTTTCAGTTTGAGAAAGTAGCCTTTCCAGGTTGAGAAAGGGCTTGTTTGTGCACAGCGAGGCGTTTGATGTTTTTGTGCATGGCGAGGCGTTTGATGCTTTTGTGCATGGCGAGGCGTCTGGGTAAGATTTTAAATTGACTTTTCTGAACCCGAATTGGACAGCAGACACGGGCATCTTCATACCAAATTGCACAGCAGACACGGGCATCTTCATACCAAATTGCACAGCAGACGCGGGCATCTTCATACCAAACTGCACAGCAGACGCGGGCATCTTCATACCAAATTGCACAGCAGACGCGGGCATCTTCATACCAAACTGCACAGCAGACGTGCACACTGGCTACAACACGTCTGCTCTAGTGTGTGTGACCGCTACTCCCTCACGTCCAAGTTGCACATGGCCAGTCATTGTAGTCGTCGTTGACATGTGCATAAGGCCCATAATTAACCCTTCCACCCCGGTCGTTCTCAGCAAGCGGGACATTCTGCCTGATGCGCTCCACGAGGTCCTATTCTCACTGTCAGAGCCACTCTCTTCGCACAAGCCACGTCACACGGGCAGACTCACAGGGTTGCAGATGAACGGCCTCCCAAACGTAATCAAGTCAATCCTGCCCTCCCTCGCCAAAGCCTCCGCTTCCTCGACCGTGTAGCCGTAGTTGACCATCAGCTTGGTCCTGCTGCCCTCGCACTTGACCAGCGGCCCAAACGCATCCAACGGCTCGTATCCTGCCGGCAGCTCCATGCCCGGCGGTCTCACCGCACAGTCGGAGAAGTCGTCATTCGCCGAGCCCGTCTCACACCCGCGGCGGCTCAGGTTCACGAACCCGACGCCCCGGTGCACCAGCGCCTGCACGAGAACCGTATACGTCTCGCTCAGCTCCTCGTACGAACACGCCACATCCGAGACGTTGTCGCACGGCGCAATCTTCACCCCGATGTGCGACACCGGGTACACGGTGGCGATGGCGTCGACGACTTGGAGCAGGAATCTGCACCGGTTCCATGCACTGCCGCCGTACCCGTCGCGCCGCGCGTTCGACCGCGTGCTGAGGAAGTTGTGCACCAGATACCCGCCCTGCGCGATGATTTCCACGCCGTCAAACCCCGCTCCCCTGGCGAGTGCGCTCGCGTGCCGGTACTGCTCCACGACGTCTGCAATGTGCGCGCGCGTCATGGCCGTGATGTTGCGCGTGTGGCCCGGGGCGCCGGGGAGGAACCGGTATTTGCCTGCCTTGGCCTGGATGGCAGAGGGTGCGAGCACGGGGTATCCCGTCTGCTTCAGCATCGGCGCGAGGTCGTGTTGCGCCCGCCCTTGGTGCCAGGGCTGGAAGAAAATGGTTCCGCCGACCGCGTGCACCGCGTCCGTCACGGGCTTCCACGCGCCCGCGTGCGAGGCCGAGGTCATGAGCGGCCCGTGCTGCCATTCCGAGCCCGTGGGGGAGATCCATGTCCCTTCTGCGATTATCAGGCCCGCGCCGTGCCGGGCCCGCGCCGAGTAGTACTGCGCAGCGGCCGAGGTGGGCTTGTTGGCGTCCGTGTTGCGGTTGCGCGTCATGGATCCCATGCAGATGCGGTTGCGGAGAGTGAGCGAGGGGCTGAGCGGGAAGGGCTCGAGGAGCGATGGAGCGATCGAGGTCTCTGTTGCAATCATGGTTTGCAATGGCGAAGCGCAAAGGGTTGGGTGTGACTTATTCGACAGGTTCTATGTTTACATGGCTAGCCATCGGCCTCTCCTCCTTTTATCCTGTGTAGACATTGGAAAACGATGCTGCAAAGTGTTTTGGTTGTTCTGTATGTCGCCAATGACTTGGCCTTGCGTTGAAGTAAATGTGGCCCCATTGGTCAATTCTACAACATCGTCCTATAGCACACTAGGCCCGTTGGGTTTGACTGGTCAGTAACAGAGCAGTATTCCCAAGTGGCTAACTGCAGACGCCTCCACCGCACGTCATTGCACAATCGACGGCCTCCAACAGCGAACCGCCAGGCTCACAGTACATGCTTCTTCTAAATCCGGTAAACCCGGCCTGTGCACGCAATGTGGCTGTCCGCTAGCCATGTTCGTACATCGATTCACCGTTCGTGTACTCATTTCGTCATGACAACCTCCGCTGACGACAGTATATGACGATTGCGCCTGCTGGTTCTTTCCGTCACATCAGACTCACAGCCGAGACTACACCATGTCTCTAAAGTACGACAAAGTCCTCGTTCTCGGTGCCACGTCAGGCATCGGCTGGGCTCTGGCAGAGAAGATCGTACAGGATGGCAAGCACGTTATCGTCGTTGGGCGGCGACAGGAGAAGCTCGACGAGTTCGCCAGCAAGCATGGCAAAGACAGGGTCTCGACCAAGGCTTTCGACATCACCAAGCTCGACGATATTCCCACGTTCGCGCGGGACATTACCAAGGAACACCCCGATCTTGACTCGGTGATTCTCAACTCGGGCATCCAGCGCGGCTTCGACTTCTCCAAGCCTGACACGGTCGACCTGGACGTGCTGGAGCTCGAGTTCCGCACAAACTACCTCTCGTACATGCATCTCACGACCGCCTTCATTCCGTTTCTGCAGAGCAAGGACACCGAGACAAGCCTCATCTACACAACATCAGGCCTGGCTCTTCTCCCCCTCCCGAGATGTCCAAACTACTGCGCCTCGAAGGCGGCCCTGCACCACATGATCCTGGTCCTCCGTGAGCAGCTGCGGGCCGGGCCGGGCAACATCAAGGTCATCGAGATCTTCCCGCCAGCTGTGCAGACCGAGCTCCACGACTCCAAGCACCAGCCTGACATCACCGACGGCGGCAGCATCGGCATGCCGTTGGACGAGTTTATTGACGAGACGTGGCAGAAGCTGGCCAACGGCGACGAGCAGATTCCAGTTGGGTTTGTTAGCAATGCTTTTGAGAAGTTTGAGAAGACGAGGCAGGCCATGTTTCACGACTTCATGATGAAGACGCACTAGACAGTGAGGTAGTGTACCTGTTGGAAAACACCAGCTTGAACGTTGACGCTTGTGATGCGTGACGCCAGCCCGAGGAATGTCTGAGGCTTAGCATAGCATGCAGACTAACCAAGTCATGTCAAAGTAAACATGCAAATACTCAATGATGACAAAACGAACTTGCAAATAATGTCGAGGCAAGCTTGGAAACACTCTTGGTTCATTGACAAAACAAACTTGTAAATAATGTCGAAGCAAGCTTGGAAGTACTTTCGGTTCATTGACGTCTGCGTTCCGGGCATCGCACGAGCGCCCCACTGTTACTTCGTACAGCCCACATGTGCTGCGCCACCATCTAAATCGGGTGCCGGCACGAGGCTGCGAACTCCTGAGGTCCCCACTTTCATGGATACCGCGGACGGACGATGCTCGCAACCAGCGAAGTTTCAAACAACAACACAGCGCCTTCACTCTTGGTTTTGCTTCGCCAGACTCCTGACACCCTTGGTATGCTCTTCTTGCATACACGTGCTGACTTTGTTACTGACCAAAGCGCAGCAACCTCTCACGTCACTCCACCATGAGCGCCTTCCAGAATGCGATGATCAACCGCTCGCTCGGCGACATCAAGAACGTATGTCGCTGCGTCGCTGCTCCCCGGGACACACATGTTGAAACGTGACGTCCAGAACCTCCAGTTCCTCGTCGAATCCGAAGTCATCAGCCAGGCCCAGCACGATGCGATGCTGCAACAGCTGCCCACCTCCGCCGAGAACCCAACGCGCGCGCTGCCCTCGGCGCCCGCCCAGCAGGTTGCCACCCAGTTCTCGCAGATGAACCTTCAGCCGACACCCTCGCACACGCCCACGCCCGCGCCCGCGCCCGCGCCCGCGTCGGAGAAGAGGCAGAACATTGGCTACTACGCCGAGAACCCGGCGCCGCCCGCCTACCCGTCCACACCCTCCCTGCCCGCCGGCCCGACAATACTCACACACGCCACCGCCATGTACCAGTACAACGCCCAGGACGCCGGCGACCTGGCGCTCCTCCCCAACGACAAGGTCGCCGTCACAGAGTACATGAACGCCGAGTGGTGGAAGGGCAAGAACGAGCGCACCGGCCAGGAAGGCATCTTCCCCGCCTCGTATGTGCGCAAGGAGGAGAAGGCCCTGGTTCCGCCGCCCAGCAACTACGGCAACATGCCGCTCGACGTGTCCAACGGCGCTGCATCCGCCCCCGCCCAGCAGACGCCCGGCGAGCCAAGCAAGTTGGAGCAGGGCGGCAAGAAGTTTGGGAAGAAGCTGGGCAACGCCGCCATCTTCGGTGCAGGTGCGACTATCGGCGGCAAAATTGTGAATGGCATTTTCTGATCGCATGCAGGTGCGACCATCGGTGGCAACATTGTCAACTCCATCTTCTAGGACATCTTCAGCATCCTATTGCGCGCATTTCATCTTCACTTCCGTGCTTTCGGCAATTTGGCGTTGGGGTCGAGATTGGGTAGTGAGTTTTGTTGTTCTTCCTTTTTGATGGCCCCCTTATGATTCTGACGACTGTCAGATTTTCTTGGTCCATCTTATCGCTTCCTCCAAGCATTGTTGTGCCTCGAGGAGCAACTCAAGCATCTAAGAATCATGCTTTGAAGCAGCTTTTGACAGCCTGCAGGATTCTGATGCTCGGTGTCGTGAGCGTCAAACTCAATTCACTGCCGGGAAGAGCAATGTCAACGAGGGACCATTCAATAGCTACTTCTTCGCAAACGGCCTTCTTTCAGATACAAAAGCATCCTTACACTTCATAACCCTTGCAGCTTTTCTCCTCGACATGCTCCTGCAGACGTGACATGCTCACAAGCAGCTCGCATCGGACTGCATCAAATGCTATGCGTTCGCATCCCTCCGGTACATTGGACCACGCCCATACCGAGACCCCACATGCTCGCCATGCGGCTGCGCCAGCCGACTCATTGGTCAAACCCTCTCGTGACCGCGCACACACCTACGCCGCACATGCCCTGAATCTCTTCAATGTCTATGGCATCCCCCTCACCTCCGGTATCTGGCTCGAATACTACTTCACAAGCAGCCGCCCATCCATCTCTCTACTGGCTGTCTCATCCGTTTTCGGGACTCAACTCGCGTGCCTTGGTCTTGCCACCAGTACGACCCTACGGCTGCACCACCGGCCGAAGTACTGGCGAGTGTATATGCTCATCGGCACGCTGTTCGTCTGCGGTGCACACCTTGGCCTGCTCGTCACCAGCGACCTTTGGGTGCTTGTTCTGTGTCAGGGCGCGCTGACTGGTCTGGGGCTGGGTATGCTTGGAGCTGTTTCTCTACGGGTGTTGAGTACGCATTACAAGCATAACGTCGCCGTCACATCGACTCTATGTGGAAGTGCGGGATTCTTCGGCGCAATCGTCCACTCCACACTGACGTGGATCTGTCTACGCACCGACAATCCCGGCCTCGCACACGGCCTCGCACTCTCCCTCCTCACTCTCACATTGTTCCCCGCGCTCCTACTCGCCAGACCCGGTGATTACAAGTCACTGCAGCCACGGCAGCCAAACCGGGACGCTCTCCCCTCCACTTCATCATGGCGCGTCTACCCCGTATCCCCGGCCATGCTCCTAACAACCACAGCCCTGCTCATCCCACCCCTCCACCTTCCTCTCCTTCTCACGCGGCATCCTGGACCCAACCGCGCAGATGCCGGTCTATACACGCTCCTAACGCTCTACGGCACCGCGGTGCTCACCTCAGCATTCGTCCCGCGGATACCTCCGCGCCGCCTCTCTTCAAGCACGCTGTGCGGCGTCGCTGGGGTGGTGGCTGGTGCAGCGACTGTCCCGCTTGTCTGGATGCAGAGCCTGGGCGTCGCTGTGCCGTGTGCGGCTGTGTATGGCGCTGCGCTGGGATGCGTGGCAGTGCTGTGGGTCACGGTGTTTTCGCGATGTGTAGAGGCTTTCAGGGCTGGGGGGGTTGGTGGCTTGGTGGATGTGTGTGGATTGGTTGCTGGGCTGAGTGCTGCGGGAGGTGTTGTGGGTGCTGCTGCTTTGCTGCAGGGGCTGGAGAGTGGTGTGGAGGTTTTGCTAGGTGTTGTGGTTGGGGGTCTGGTCTTGGGAGGGCTGGGGATGGGAGGAAGGGACTTTGTGAGGCGGTGGAAGAGATTGTGATGCGGGATCATGTCATGTGGTGATGCGATTCGCGTTGCGTCTGTCTTAAGTTGTTTGTAGCTCTCTGTGTGTGAAGAAAGATGCCAAACGTTGCACCCGAGACAGTGACGTTAAGCTTTCTTCCACCCCACGTCGATCTGGAGACAGCTCTGCAGCACCTGAAAGACGATACCTTGGTGGTCTCAGTGACTTGAATCAAGCCATGCGGGTAACAGTACTAGGTGCAATATGCGACACTGCAACTAGCTGACAAAGGCTGCGACTCTTGTATTTAAAAGATAAGGGGCGTAGCAGCTGAAGATGTGGGATTTCACTGGACTGAGGTTGAAGCGCCACGGTACGCGATCTGATGGGGCAGGCTGAATTGATGCAAAAAGAGCACTAAAAAGTCTGGTCGTAGCGTGGTTCGAACCTGTGGCCATTTAGAACACGAAAAAAATGGTAGCTTCTCTTTGATCTGTTGAATGTGTTAGCGTCATTCAACTGTAATGTGTCGACTGGAAAACTTACTGAGCGTGTCATCCTTAGTGCAGGGGCCATGCTAATCTTCTCTGTATCGTTTCAAATTGACTATTTGCCCGAAGGCGAAGTATAGTAGAATTTTATAATTTATGTAGTCAGGAAATAAATCTGCACGGCCCTAAGGAAAGGCGCGCAGCGTGCCTCCAGGACCTTGAGTGGCGAACATGCATGTCGGTGGACCGTGCGTGAAAAAGTTTTTGAGTTGCGGGAACGACTTAGCTTGCCTCTGCACCAATAATGACATGGTGTCTTTTGTGCGCTGATGAAAGAGAGCGGGACGTGCCGGTGCTGCAACAGTTGAACTCGACAAATTCGTGTCAGGAGAAAGACAACAATACGGCAACGTGACTCTTTGAAGAGATGATTCAATTGCTACCCGGCCACGAACCTGAGCGAATAGGTACCGTACTCGAACGTTTGTATTTTTAACCCTCCGTGTGCTCGGGCATTTGGGTCAATTTGAGACCTCGTCACTAAATGCCCATCTATTACCGACAACAAGCAAAGGTCACCATGAAGAAAATGGGCTGCTGTTGGCTTGAACACAGGTCAAGCATTTGCGCCAGCGCATCTGTCTGTTGACATTCTGAAGACAAGAGCCGACATCGAAGATCATCAACATTATACGCTGCTTCGATGCACCGCTGGATGTCAAGGTCGAGCGGATACGCAGACAGCTGTCTAACGTGGCGCCGTTATGCCGACTGCAGCGCCGATCTTCGTCAGCACATGGGCTGTGGCTACACCTGCGTTTTGTCTTTCGTGGGAACGACTCGGACTTCAGGGCAAGTGTGTGATCTGCCCAGTATCGTAGGCTAAACGGCAAACAAACGCCCCGCAGCTTGTTCTTGCCTTTATATCGCGTGGTAAATCCTGGTGGGCAACCTGATGATCGCCAGAGATTGTTTCGACATGGACATGGAAGCCAGGAGGCTCCTCGTAGATCCAGCTGCGACCTGTTCCTTCCGAGCAAAGGTACTCTCAACGATGACATACCGCACCATACATGCGCGAGAGGATCTGAGGACGGTATAAATGTTGGAACTGAGGATCTGACAGTGCTGTACTGCAGACGCGCCACAACTCTATAATCTATCCTGGAGGTTACTGGTTGTAATGGCGGTACTCAGAGAGCAGCTGGGTGCCTGCTTAATACACGTGTGCTCTTCTGTGTGATTGCTGTGGGAGGCTCCAAGAGCTTTCTGTGTTTGACCATCAAGGAAGTTCATCTGAAGCGGACCGAGAGCTGCTGGTGGTGTTCCGGCAATGGAGTTTGGTACGCTAGAGGCTCCGTTGCTGTGGGCTTGTTGGTTGAGTACGTCCACTTGTTGATCCCTACCCGGGTCGGCGGTTGCGTTCACACCAATCTGCCAATCAACAAGCTTCTGTCACTCCCACTGGCGCCCCGGCCGTCGTTGTAGATTGTGTGGGCCGGCTTGGGTAAAGTGGGACTCTCGTTGTTCCAGCTATCATGACTAGTCTGCCTCTTATCCGGGGCAATAGACATCTCCTGCTCGACATGTATCCCTGGGGTGTCCGCCTTGTTTCTCTTGGCTGTGAACAGATTCAGAAAACGCGACTTCACAGGCCTGGACTCGGGCGCGGAACCCTTCGATAGACTGGGCGATTGTTCAAGAGAGGTGCGTTCGAGGAACTCATCACCACGAGATGAATGTGATCGCTTGCGCACATCATGACTACTACTTAATCCAACATTGGATCTATGGTGTATAGTGCCATTTGCGGAGCTGAACTTGTGGAGGACAATTCCGTCGAGTACGGACTTGAAGTCGTCGAGAAAGATGGTATCAGAGGCGCATTTGAAGACGAGAGCAAAGCGCCAGTATGGGTTAATGCCACTGCTGGCTGTTACACGGGCGGCCGAGACAGCAGCGTCGGTAAGGAGGAAGCCTATGGACAGAAGCTGAGCAACGATCAGTTTGTGGCCAGAACGTGTCTCGACATTTTGCATACCATGCAGAGCAACATGATGCCGAATCTCGAGTTGGTGCGAACGAGCGTCCAGATCTCGATTTCATATGTCTTCTTAATTGCATCAATCAACTTCCATGTAGTAAAGATCCACCATGGATCGCGGACGAGAGCCTCCCATGGGCGCATCCGAACATTCACATCTGAGCCTAAACCGTTGAAGTAGGAAAAGTTTGACCAGGCCTCGGCAATCCAGAATGGCTGAACGCAGAGCAGCGAGAAGATGAATAGACGAGAGCCCCACTGAGGGAGGAATGGCTGAATCTTGAGCCAGGCGACAACGTTGTGGAGGAAGTACGAGATGAAGAGTAAGGTTGCTGTTGCTGAGAGGTACCAGCCGTAGTACGGGTCTTTGACGAAGATGAAGGTTCCGTGCCATAGGGCGAGAACAAGCTGCACTGGTCAGCAACCGTGCAATGTATGTAATGCTTATTCCTACTTCAAGCAAGATGAGCTTGTGCAACCATCTTCCACGTCGATAGTTGCAGAAGACGATTAGGATCAAAATTACGAGGCTTCCCGCATAGTAGCCTTGCGCCCATGCCTCTAAGAAGCCTCCCTCCGTCGACAGACTCTGTCGCGTTGGTGGTGATGTGCGGGTCGTTGCCTCTGGTGGTATTGGATCTGGAAAACGTTTTTGCAAGGCTGACAGGTCAAAGAAGCCAAGAGGAGCCATGACTTTGCGTGTTACATCTCAGACCAAAGTGGAGAAATCCAAAGGACCGGAAGATGGATCACATAGCATGCGTTTATAATCGCTCGGTTATTCGGTAGTCATACGGCGGGACGCAGGGCAGGGCTTCGCAGTGCTTACTGTCGCGCAGAGGGATGTGGACTCAAGAAAGTCGGTGTCCGGGGCGACTGCCTCGTTTATTCTTAGTCGGAAATCATGTGAAGTGGTCAGAGCGATGACCCAATCGTCTGGCTCGGCAAATTGATACGATGAAGGCGGCCTGTCGTTACAGAGCTATCACGATGCTTACCGCAGTGAAGATCAGCGCTCCCTTTTGCACCTCCCGTTGACGGCTCCGCGAACAGCGAAGGCTCGTATTGGTGGCCGGATCGCGTCTAGCAGATGTCAATAAGATCAAAAGCTCGCTTCCAGCCGGTCGCGCCGGCCGAATTGGTATTTCGGGTGCGTGACAGGCCAGAATGTAGAGTTTGATGGCTTTACGGAGGGCTTCAACGGCTGTTCATCGGCGGTGGCTTGGGGGATGATGTGGGATGGATGCCTTGACTGCAACCCGGCAGAGCTACCCCTCCACGCCACATCTACCGATCAAACAATCCTCCAGTCAGCGTCGCAAAGTGTAGAAAGTCACTAGTATAGCAGTTTGTGTCTGAGGTAAGCTGTTGCCATGGAGCAAGGACGAGTCACCCAAAGGAGGCATCGAGGCCAGGCGCATTTCTCCGAGCAGTCGTACAAGGTTTCGAGAGTCTAGGGGCCCATGGTCGGCATCCCCGCATCTCAATATCAACAAGGCACTTTTGTCCCTGAGCAGGCACCGAGTAAGGGCCTATTGAAGTCGATCAAGCCGGTCAAGCAGCCCGTGTGTGATGCACTGGTGCGCAGTGCTCAGCCGCAAGGAGGATCTTATTGTGCAGTACCCCAGGGCCGTAACTGATGCTGCATACAGAGCGATCGTGGACAGGCATTCATCGCGATGGCTTCCTTGCTAATGCTGGCGAGTGTCAAAGAAAGTGACTGCGGTCTCCGCTTCGATCGTTCCTAATCACTAATGACGTCTCAGTAGTCGCGCGTGCAAAGTGGAGCATGGCCAGTGCGCCCTGACGCGCCCTCATCACTACATATTGCCATCAGACATTGCAGTGCTGAGCAAAACGCTAACAATGTCGCAATCAATCGCACCACGTATAGCCCTCCGCGTAAGCTCAAGAAGCTCGTTGACTGCTTCTTCGAGGGCAATTGAGCTGCCATGCCGTAATCTGTGAGCGCTCGAATTGCACCGTTTAAAGGCTTCAATAGCTCACGCCACCAGTTGTGCCTTCCATGCCTCGACAACACTATATAGCACCAAGCTGAGAAGTTTCTCCAAGTATCCTCCGCTGTGGAAGAAGGCAGGGAAAGCCAATAAGTCGCATGCGAAGAGCGATTCCAGCCCACCCGTCAACCAGACTGGCGGACCCACACCCACAGACGAGGTCTACGACATGTCTGAGCTAGAAGCCTCGATCTTGAAGGCGATCGAGAAGCTCACACACGACCTTTCACAGCTGCGAAGCGGTGGAAGGCTGAATCCAGACATTGTGGAGAGCCTGAAGGTGCAGCTCGGCACAGCAGCACAAGGCAAGGAAACTGTACGGCTTGGTGACATTGCACAAGTGGTTCCAAGAGGGCGAGTGTTGAATGTCATCTGTGGCGACGATGCAGTGAGTAGACACTATTCACTGTTCCCAGACGAGACGCTGATAACTTGCAGCACATCAAACCCATAACCAGTGCGATCGCTGCCTCTCCGCACTCCCTCACACCGCTTGCACCCGAGCAGAACAACCCTCTTACCATCCAGGTACCTCTGCCGCCACCGACCGGTGACACACGGCGAGATGCGATTGAATCTGCGAAGAAGGCTTCTGAGAAGGCCGATGCCATGGTCCAGCGCGCACGACAGGACCACAATAAGCTGGTCAGAAAGTACGAGCTCAACAAAGAGGTGCGACCAGATGACGTTCAGAAGGCGAAGAAGCGCATGGAAGAGGTGGTTAAGAAGGGCCACGACGAGGTCAAGCGCATCGCTGATGGTGCAAAGAGGGTGCTCGAGAGCCAGTAGATGCTCTGCAATGCGACGTTGTACATATCTGTTCACAAGACATCTGAACGAAGCTGTAAGATATATTGACATGTAGATTGCGCTAATGGGACGAAAGCCTCCGTATTGCAGCTTCAGCGACACCAAACACATGTTCAGCACGCATGCATTGTCTGACACAGAAGTCTGCCTTATACTCACCGGCCACAGTGCTCTTACACAACTCGCTTGACGTCCAACCAGCAAAGCACGCGGCTGTCTGGTCACACGATGCGAGCAAAGCGACGTGCATGGTGGAGGCGGTGCTGCCTTGGCGCCTGACCCCGTAGAGACCACCCGTGCAACGAGCTCCAGCACAAAAGCCCACGATCTCTCATGCACAACTCAAACACCTGCATCAGCTCGCCATGTCAGGATCGACAGAATGGCTACCGCCACAGAGCCACGGACTGCCATCCCCGCAACTCCAGACATCGCTGAAAAGACCCCCTTGAAAGCGTCGGATCCTGTCAGTCTCCTCACCGACGACGATGGCGACGATTACAACACCAAACCGACACCGGCCGGACCAAGCCGAACGGTCCTGCACATCTACTTTGAGCACCCATGTGCCCACAAAGTCATAACGCCCGTGCTCTCACCCTCGCAAGAACGCCGTTTCGGACCCAGCCTACGACAGCAGAAACAGCGCCGCATGGCAAAAAAAGCCGCGAAGAAACTACGCGATGTATCCAACACGATCGCGCCCGGCCTGACACATGGCGATGCCACCACCACAGCATCACCGCCAAGCGACCAAGCCCCGTCGAACCAGCAAGAACCCGAAGAAACGAGCTACCTCCTGCACACGCCCTACCTCTCCTTCCACATGCCCCCTGCCGTCCTGTACGCGGGGACGTCCAGATACGCGCCCGCCGCGCCCCTCGCGCTCGTGCACAGCCACTGCTTCTGGCGCGCGTACACGATCCAGCTGGGTCCCTCGCTCCGTGCGCCGGGCGTCATCGATCCGCGCGGAGTCGTGAGCTGGGCGCACAACGGGGTCTCGAAAGGCGATCTGCAGCGGGATGGGGCAGGGGACGGGCGGGCGCTGAAGGGGTACAGGGTGCGGGGGTGGCGGCTCTGGGGCGAGAACGGGCGGGCCTACGTGCACAGCGTGCGCAATCTGCGGCGCGCGCGCGTCGCGTTCGACGACCCGGACGTGGATGCGCACGCGGCGAAGCAGAAAGCCAGGGCAGATGAGGTCGTCCGCCTGCGCTGGACGCAGCCGCTGAGCCGCCAGACGCGGCGCTACGCGTTTGCGTTCCGCGGCGTCGAGTTCTGGTGGAAGGGAACGGGGAGCGTGCGCGAGGCCCGGACGTGCGGGTGGCTGCTCCGATTCTGCCATCTCAAGCTCGTTGCGACGATGCCGGGGCGCTCGGCCGAGGAGCGGGACGGCGCGCGGGAAGTGTGCCTGGGGACATATACGAGCTCGGTTGCGGCGGAGAAGAGCGGCGTGTTGGAGGTTTTCGATGGCGCCGTGCTGCGGGTGGTGGAGGAGCGGATGCCGAGTTTGCTGGAGGAGGAGTGCGGCGAGGAGGGGGAGGATGATTGTGGTGGTGCGGACGAGCGCGGGAAGATTGCAAAGTTGAAGAGGGGCGTGTTGTATCAGCTGATTGTGGCCACGGTACTGTGCATGGCGAGTGCGGAGAAGGAGAAGAGACACACGCTCATTGACCTCATCATCGGTATTGCTGAGAATGGTGGGAACGGTGGAGGTTGAGACGGCCGATATTCAATCTCGTCATTCCTTCCTGTCGAGCAACTTCTAGTTCTTGGCATGTCAATTCACCATCTCACCACCATCCTATTGACTTCTGGCATACCCCCTGTCCTCCGCTTCCTCATCCTCTTCGTTCCCTTGTTCCTCATCCGCGCCTTCGTTTTCTTCATCGAAGATCATGCCGTGCAGTCCCTCCCGCTCGCCTCCAATCAAGGGCGCCCTCTCGCCCTCTTTCCTCGAAAAATGGCCGCCCAGACTGATGGCGAGGGTGCTTAGGCCGTGGAACAGAGTGCTTCCCATGACGATGAAGCAAACAATGGGCCAAATCAAGGTAATGGTCCTTTGTCGCTTGGGGTCGAGATCACTAGGAGGATGGGGCAGCGGCAGCGATGTATCCGTCTCCAGCTGAGCGCGTGCTTCGATCGCTAGGAAGAGTGCGCCGACGCCCATGGGTCCAAAGTGGCCGACGAACAGGGCCTCGGTCGTGGTGCGGACGGTGGGGAGCAGCTTGGCCTTGTAAAATGCGAAGACGATAGGGATGCGGCGGAAGACGAGAATGAGAGCCAGTACGGCCAACAGTCTTCCAGGGGTGATTGAGTCCAGCTTGTCGAACGAGTCCCAAGGTATCATAGCACCGAAGAAGACAAAGAGAGCGGAATTGAGCATCAGATCGATGACAACTGGCAGTCTCGTGTCTGCCGTGGGCGAGTTGCCGCCATGCGCGAAGCCTCGACCAGCGAAGAATGCAACGAGGAAGTCGTCGACTCCAATGGTCGACGCGAGCCCAACGGAGAAGATGGCCAGCAGGAGGTAGAAGGCTAGGTAGGAAGCCCGGCCCATCATCTCACGCTTGTGGGAGATGTGGTAGAGCTTGTTGAAGACGTGGCCGATGATGAGACCAAGGACGATGCCGAATGTGCACTGGTAGAGCACCGTGATCAGAAACCACTCGTTGAAGATGTCGCGCCTGGAGGGTTTGGTCAAGATGTTGAGACCGAAAAACAGAAACGGGAACGACACTCCGTCGTTTACACCACTCTCTGCACTCAGGAGATCTCGGATACGCCTTGGCACACGGGTGCTGAACTGACTGTTGGACAGCACCGAGGCTGCGAGGACGGGATCCGTTGGGGTAAGGCAGGCCGAGATGGTCAATGCGGATGCAAAGTCTGTATCAAAGATGAGCTTGATGAACATGGCGCCCATCAGCCAGCCAAAGGCCATGACAGGGCCAAGGAGGACGACGAGCGCCTTCCACTTCTTCTTGAGGTAGCCATTCGGAAGCTCGAGACCGACAGCGAAGCATTGGACGCCAACGACGATGCGTGTGAACTCCTGGATGACTGGGTCCTGGAAGCCCCATTCGTAGGGCCTCAGCCACGATAGCCCGCGAGGTCCTACGAGGATGCCAAAGATGGTTGCCAGAGGTGGTTCAGAGAGATGCAGCCTGTTCCTAATCATGAGCGAGAAGAGGGCATACATGATCAGGAACGATGTCAGGACCAAATACGACAGGTGCGGCCCCGTGGGCTCGAGTTGCGACCACATTGTTGTGAATTTTTCGTTGCCGTCGACTGCTACAAGGATGCGTAGCTGAGGCTCAGGTCTAAACGCGGGTGTTGCTGGAAGGCGGGTGTTGCTGGAAGGCGGGACTAAGAGAGGAAGCAACGCTGGACCAACCTCCAGGTGGCCATCATCATGACGGTGGGAAAAACGCAGAGCGGGCGGCAGGCAAAGGGTGGTGTAGCACGAACAATTAAGCATTCTTGCAGAACGGGCGATTATGGATATCGATGACGGCATGGCCCGTTGTGGAAGCCACGCTAGTAAACGTTTGCCCGCTTGGGATCATGCCGACACGAAAACGGACCGTTCTGTACAAGTGCCACGGCTCGAGTTGCTGTGTTTCCCGACTGTGCCACTTGGGATGTTCAACGAGCCTATGATTGATATTACAAAGTCGCTGCATATATAGCACGTGACTGCGAGATCGCTACCTTTTGTATCAAAGCGCCGTGCTTTCGCAAGAGAAAAGGCCCCCAAACGCCGGTCCGCCGAGAATGCAACTCAGTCTGTTCGCGGGTATGCGGACGATGTGGTTAAAAATACATGCTGCGAATCCAACCGAGCAAAGGCGAGTCTCGGCGGATGTGGGAAATACATGCTGCAAATCCAACCGAGCAAAGGCGAGTCTCGGCGGATGTGGGAAATACATGCTGCGAATCCAACCGAACAAAGGCGAGTCTCGGAGGATGCGGTGAGAAATACATGCTACGAATCCAACCAAACGAATGCGAGTGTGGTGACTGGTGTGGCTATATGTGGTCTGGGGGAGAGTTGAAAAAGGAAACTCGTAACCTGTGTAGCTGGTGGGGGTTAGCGTGGGTCTGTCTGCAGTCGGGGGTGTTGCAGCGACGTGGTGCGAGTCTGCCTGCAGTCGGGGGTGCTGCAACGACGTGGTGCGAGTCTGTCTGCAGTCGGGGGAACGACGTACCGAGGGTAGCTTGGGAATGACGACGGCTATGGTGGCCAGGCAGTTGACGATGAAATAGGTGCTGTCGTAATGTGTGTAATGGGTGCTAACAAGGAATAACGCAATGGGCACGAACAGAAGGAACTTCTTGGCCGGGGTGTACTGGTCGCCGTTATCAATCTGCTCCCACATGTTGAGGTTGTCGTAGGCGCCCGAGTTGAAGTCAAAGGGCACGCCGCGCACGTAGTGGAACATGAGGTAGGAGCCGGCCATGTACGAGAGGTTAACGAGGGTCCAGGACGTCTCCTGCGACATGCCGGGGATGATGTCGAAGAGGATCTTGCCGATGAAAATCAGGACGAAGTGGATTGCCCATGCGCCTGCAGTGGTGCCGTCAGCCGTGTTCAAGTTGTGTGTGCTCAGGGCGACTGCCACACGTGTGCAGTGGTGCCGTCAGCCGTCTTCAAGTTCGGTGTGCTCAGGGCGACTGCCACACGTGCAGTGGTGCCGTCAGCCGTGTTCAAGTTTGGTGTGCTCAGGGCGACCGCCACACGGGTGCAGTGGTGCCGTCAGCCGTCTTCATGCTGCGTGTGTGCAGGCCGACTGTTGCGTGTGTGCAGGCCGACTGCTGCGTGTGTGCAGGCCGACTGCTGCGTGTGTGCAGGCCGACTGTTACGCGTGTGCAGTCGCGGGGCGGCGTCGGGGGCACTCACCCTTTGCGTTGACCCACTCGGCGTTCAGGTTGGGCAGCGCGGCCTGGTCGCTCAGCTGCTCGAGCGACTCGGGCGGCTCCTTGTAGACAAGACTACTGCTACGCCGCCTCCGGGCCTCCTTGGCTTCGAGGGACATGGTGTTGGCGGAGTACGAGGACGAGCGGTCGGGGCTCGGTCGGTGGGGCCGCGGGTCGCCGGCGAAGCTCAGACGCGAGGTGCGGTTGAGGAGTATGGGCGACAGTTTGGCGGTGGTCGAGGGCGCCGGGAGGGGGGGGACGTGTGCGAAGAGAGAGAGGGCAGTCCAGGCAGGTACCTCTGCGCGGGCGTTCAGGGTCTTACGGTGTCGAGTGCCGACTACTGCGTACGTAGCGCGATGCGCTTTGCCGGAGGGACCGGGCGGGTCGTGCTGAGCGAGCGGCGGAGAGGGAAGGGCCAGAGTGTCTGCAGAGAGAGGCGTGCGGACGGAGCGGGCAGTGCGGACGAGGGCTGGCAAAGGGGAGGGCAGCAGAGAGCGTCGTGTTGTGTCTCCTGGGCCGGGCGGGAGTCGAGGGCCGGGGAGTCGAGGGCCTGGACGGGGAGCTACTGCGAACCTACGAGCCCACGAGCGCACGGCCGCGTCTGCAGAGGGATCGTGGCCGTGACCTCCGACACGACTCGGGGCGTCGCAGCGGCGCTCCTCGCCTGCCGCATCAACACCAGCACCGCCAGCACCGCCAGCACCGCCAGCACCGCCAGCACCGCCAGCACTGCCAGCACCGCCAGCAGCCACCCTCCCCCCTATCCGCGCGAGCATGGCCACCGAGGCGCCCCAACCGGCCGCGGCACCCACGCCCGACGCGCCGCCGCCTGCGCCCGCGCCCAGCGCAGAGGCCGCGCAGAAGCCGCCCGTGAAGCGGTCGTGGAGGTAGGCGAGCCGAGCGACGAGAGACGAGAGACGAGAGACAGCCGCAGCTGACGCCGCGTGCAGGCGCAAGTTCCGCAAGATGCGCATCCGCTTCGACGACGCCATGAGCCAGAGCAACGCGCTGATCATGGACGAGTGGAAGGCCATGGGCACCGCCCGCCGCCTGCAGGCCGAAAACGACCAGCTGCTCGACGCCCTGCTGGACTTCAACGACCAGCCGCGCGTCTCTGCCCGCCAGCGCTTCGACCTGTCCGTCGCCGCCGCCGCCGCCGCCGCCGCCGACCAGCCCACGCAGCCCGCCGACCAGCTCGCCGACCAGCCCGCCGACCAGCCCTGCCCGCTGAAGACGCTCGCCGCCCTCGAGGCCGCCGTCCCGCACACCACACTCGCCGACCTGCCCGCACTGCCCGACGGCATCGACCTCAGCGAAAACGCCCCCGGCTACCTGTCGCCGCAGCACGAGGAGGAATACCTGCTGGCCCTCGACCAGCTGCTCCAAGACCCGGCCTACGAGGAGGCCACCCGCCACCACCGCACCCTGCACCTCGGCCCCTCGCAGCCCCCGCTCAGCGAAAAGGACCTCACCATCCGCAACCCCGACAGCGTCTACAGCTGGCTGCGCAAGAACCAGCCACAGGTCTTTTTGCAGGACAAGGACGCCCCCCACCACGACAACGTCTCGGAAAAGACCGCACCCAAGGCCGCCAGCAAGAAGAGCCGCCCCTCCAACATGGCCGCCGGCCGCGCCGGCACACCAGCGTCCAAGGAGGACCACGATGGCGAAGACTCGGTCGCCCCGGAAGCCAGGGGGAAGCCCAAAAAGGGCGGCGCAGACGCAGACGACACAGCCTACCGGCCCAAGGGCGGGAGCAGCAGGCCCGCGAAGCGCAAGAGGGACCCCGCCGACCCCGACGCCAAGGCCGCTCGCAAGAAGAGCCGGCCCAGTGCTGCTGCCGCCGCCGCCCCACCCGCCGCCTCGTAGATGCGCATCCTGCTCGGTGCTCTGTCGTGTTGCTTTGTATCAGTACGTAGGAATGGAGTTTGGCGTACTCGGGTTATATAGATACCCTTTTGGGACATGCTCACAGCTGGCGATGCTGCGGGTAATTGATTCATGTCACAGCTGGTGATGCTGCGGATAATTGATTCATGTCACAGCTGGTGATGCCGTGGGTAATTGATTCATGTCACAGCTGACGATGCTGTGGGTAATTGATTCATGTCACAGCTGGTGATGCCGTGGGTAGTTGATTCATGTCACAGATTCATGTCACAGCTGGTGATGCTGCGGATAGTTGATTCATGTCACAGCTGACGATGCTGCGGATAATTGATTCATGTCACAGCTGACGATGCTGCGGATAGTTGATCCATGTTATGAGCACAGAAACTGGTCTTGGACAACACTACATGCTATGCAATTCCATGCCTTGCACACACCCCATATAATACACTATTTGCTCTGCATCAGTACGTGCCTTCCACATAGCTCTATGATACACTATTCCACACGCTCCTCCATCGCGTCCTTGTCACCCGCGCTACTCCACGCCCACTCACCTCTGCTTCCGCCTCGGCGTCTCCATCAGCACCGGCTCCGCCTGTTCCAACAACGGCAGGCTCGTCTCAATCACCGTGTTGCCATCCACCAGCAGCCCATTACCCCTCTTCTGGTCCTCCAGCCTCGCTGCCTCTGCCCGCTTCTCCGCAAGGTACTTCTTGCGCTCCGCCGTCAGGATCCACTCCTTGGGGAACTCGTGCCGCACCTTGGCCTTGTGGTGCCGGAAGTCAAACGGCACGTCCTCGAACGTGTCCTTGGCGTCCTTGGCCTCGGCCATCAGACTCTGAATGGTCTCGCCCAGGAACCGCTTGTTCTGCGTCTGCGTGTCAAACTGCTCCGTTGACAGCTTGATCAGATCCGACGACGGGTTGTAGCGTGGACCAGAGAGCTTGATCAGCTTCGAGCGCTGCACGGGCGTGAGACCCAGGTCCGAGGGGGAGAATTCCACCACAACTTTGTTGGCCGCCGGGTGCGATTCGCCCAGATACGACGTGTAGCGGAAGCGGAACGGCGTTGCCGCCGTGGGGGGTTCGAAGGGGCGCGCGAGCTCTACAGCACGTTAGATGCGTCTTGTACGCAAAGACATTGGGGCCGTACGGTTCAGCAGAGGCAGCTCCCACGCAATCAGTCGCGCGTACTCCCTCAAGTACCGGTGCGATCGCAGCTCTCCGTGCCCGTGACTCGTGATGTCGTCGCCGTAGTAGTCTTCGTCTGGACCCATGGACTCCTCTCCTTCAGCCCAGAACCCGATTTGCGTGAGACGTCGGTCTTCCTCGGCCATCTCAAGGTCGTCGTCGTTGTCCAACTCGTACTCGGTCGCGACTTCCCGGCCGTCCCTGCCTCGGCGAGCCGCGTCCTGGACCGACTCCTCATTTAGCTCCTTCAAGTCCGCCGCGAGCTTCTGCAGCTGAATCGCCGCCTTGTCCGGCGTGCTCGCCCATGTTGACTCCAGCGCGGGCTTTGCAGGCTTCTTTTCCACTTCGCGGGGAGGCTCGTCGTCTCGGTCTCTCGCGGACCGACTGCGTGTTGTGGAGAACGGCCGCCGCCATTGGGATGCGCACTTGGATGTCGAGCGGGGTGTGAGGGACGACGGGCAGCGCCGCGACTGCAGCAGCAGGTTCCGTGTTGCTGACGCCATGCTGCTGGAGATGGGTGATGGCGTCGTGAACTTTTCGCCGAGTCGCTCCCCCGGCGCCAAGGAGCGGAATGTGCGCCCGTGCCACGAGCCAATGCGAGGCGGTTGCGTCCGACCCCCGCCCTGCATCTGTCCCGCGACGTCTGGGTGCTGGGTTGGCGACTTGACGAGGTTGACCTGATCATACTTTCTCGATTCGTAATACTCTACTGGCTCTGAGGCGACAATGGCGACAGCGTGGAAGTGGGCGCCAGATTCCAAGTTGTGCTTCGTCACAACCGGCGCAACCGCACCCTTCACAGCCTTGATCGAATCCGTCTTGACTCCTTCATCCCTGGATGCACTGGTCGAGACTGGTTTCACTCATCTTCTCGTTCAGTATGGATCAGCCAAAGACGTTTACACAAGCGCCTCCAGCACCGCCCGAGCTCGCATGCAAGACAAGATGATCATTGATGGCATCGACTTCAATCCAGATGGCCTGCAAGCACAGCTCAAACTGGTGCAGCAATCCAAGGGCCTCGTCATATCGCATGCCGGATCCGGGTCGATCCTGGAGGCTCTGCGCTACCAAGTTGCGCTCATTGTCGTGCCCAACACCAGTCTTTTGGACAATCACCAGGAAGAGCTCGCTGATGCTATGGAGCGCTCCGGCTACTTGCTGAAAGGGCACGTCGAGTAAGTCATGAACCTTGACACTGCTTGATCTAAGAAGCTGATCGCGGTCACCAGACGCCTTGTTCCCAGCATTCAAAAGTCTGAGGAGTTTCGCACCAAGATGTCGCAGTTTCCTCCCCCCACCAGTGGAAAGCATCGAGAGACAAAGAGCTTCGCTGCTATTATGGACGAAACTGTCGGCTTCATGGATTGAGGCGTCATTTCCGATTCCTGGTCCCTGCGACTCAACACCCTGCCACTCTCATCCTTTGTACTTGATGGCACGGTGTCGAAGGCAGTGGAGGTCCAGCAACATGTCCAATCGAGTTTACGTGACTCGATGAAACGCAGAATCCGGACGCAAGCCCAGTCTTCTCACATCTGGAGTCTATGCACTATCGTTGGGCTGGAGCAGGCTTCTGCAGGACACCACCCGGCGTCCCGCACCTCGTACTCCCAGCCCCCGCAACACCAGATCGCTGTATCACTGAAGATCGCTCATCTACAACGGCCGCGGCCGCACACCTCTTGGGCTCGTTTTCAATACTTCTCTGCATGCTTCTATCGCATGTAAAACAGAGCCAGTATTGCAAATGGATTTCGCTTTTTTGGAGAAGCGGTACTTCTCGAGTAAACGCGGTATGCAACTGGCTGCAATGCAACTTTTGACATGCTCTGTCGTTTGTCAATGCCTAACTAGGTTATTTCACGTGTCGTTTGTCAAAATCAGGAGAGTTCGACGCGTCGATCCCGCTGAGGAAGGCATGGACGAGCATGTGCCACTTCCTGTACGCAGCTGCGCGAAGGCGCGTTGCATTTAGCTGGTTACAAATTACGTCCTGATCACGCAACTACTTCTCAACCGTTTCACTGTGTACAGGCACGACCGCGCGTTCAGTTGTGCTACTAATTTCACCTTTTGGACGCTTTCTCTTCACGTCGCTGAGTTCCCACCTGTCGCTCTCTACCCCAACCACCGACACAGTATCGGACCAGCATGCGGGTACAAGCCTCGTTGTCGGCCTTCCTGGCTGTCGCAACTACTCTCGTGCATGCGGCACCAAGGTATGCTCATGCCTCCAAGCGAAGGGCTGCGCCTCGTACTGACATCAAACAGCACAACCAGCAAGAGAAGCGTCGAATTCAACTGGGGCAGCACAAAAGTCCGGGGTGTCAATCTTGGAGGATGGCTGGTCCTTGAACCGTCGGTCCACCAACCACGGTCATAAGTAAGATACTTAATGTCTTCTGCAGATTCATCACGCCTTCCATCTTCGAGTTCCACAGCGATCCTGGCTATCCTGTCATTGACGAGTGGACTCTGTGCGAGAAGCTCGGCAAGCAAGGCTGCTTCGATGCACTCAAGCCTCACTGGGACAACTTCGTCTCGCTCCAGGACTTCCAGAAGATCCGTGACTCCGGCTTCAACGTGGTCCGTATCCCTGTCGGCTACTGGTCCTACGTCGAGCCATGGGGTCCTTTCACCCAGGGTGCTGCACCCTACCTCGACAAGGCCATCAGTTGGGCGCGCGAGACCGGGCTTAAAGTTGTCATCGACCTGCACGGCGCACCAAAGAGCCAGAACGGATTTGACCACAGTGGCCAGAAGCTGGACAACCCAGGCTGGGGTGATGCGGACAGCCTTGCATACACTCACCAGACGCTCAAGATCCTCAACGAGAAGTATGCGAAGCCAGATATGCAAGATGTCGTCGTCGCCATCCAGCCCGTCAATGAGCCTTTCCTAGCAATGGTTCCACAAGCTACTGTCCGCCAGTTCTACCGCGATGCCTTCTATAACTTGCGTCAAGTCAGCGATACGCCAATTGCCCTCCACGACGGCTTTCTCGACCCAAGCTGGATGAACGGATTGCTTACACCTCAGGACAACAATGCACAGGGTGTCATCGTCGACCACCATCAGTACCAGATTTTCGACGCTGGACTTGTCTCAATGGGTGTAGAGCAGCACCTAAGCATGGCTTGCAATGCGGTACGCATTGTCTCAGCGAAGCTTGCACGCGAATTTTGCTGACTGATGAATCCAGGTCGACTCTTACGCCACTTCCGATAAGTGGACTATCGTCGGCGAGTGGTCCGGGGCTCTTACCGACTGCGCCAAGCACCTGAATGGCTTCGCATCGGGCTCGCGCATGGAAGGTAGTTACGCCGGCGCGTCCTATATCGGCTCCTGCAACGGCAAGTCTGGACGAGTTGACTCTTGGTCTCAGGATTGGAAGGATAGCGTGCGCAGGTACATCGAGGTGCAACTCGACGCTTTCGAGACCCGTACCCAAGGCTGGATCTTCTGGAACTTCAAGACTGAGGGTAGTGCAGGAGAGTGGGACCTGTTCCAGCTGCTTGACGGTGGCGTCTTCCCGCAGCCGCTGGGCAATCGCAAGTTTGACAAGTACTGCACGAACCTTAGAGTTTATGCTACGACGAAGAAGTAAGCAGTATGTGGACTGACGAGATGATATGGTGTTGTAATAGGTGGAAGGCTGGTGATGGGCCTGTCAGAAGACAAGTATACTATATATCACATCTTATATTCAGTATATAATGACGAGACGTTACATACTTGATAGCTGCTCGAATCATTGCAGTATGCCTGTTGCTGGTCTTTTCACGACACTGGATTAATCATACAGCATGTTCTTTAAACCATGATCCTTCTATAGGTATAGGCGAGTCAACTCATTCGTCCACAAGTTCCACGATGTCGCCAAACTCTTGGAACAGCCATGGCTGAAGATCCTTGAATCCCTCTGGGACTTGCTTTGGCTCTTCTTGCTTGGTCTCGACTGATTGTACTGGCGCTTTGACCTTGGCAGGATGGTTGTCACTCTTCGTGTTCGCCTTGTTGTTAGCAGCCAACGGCATATCAAGCATATCCAGTAAGTCGCTGTACACGTCTTCTTCTTCGTCCAGATCCTTCGCAGCCTGGCTAGGCGGTGATGGCGCAGCTTTGCCCTGCTGTAGCTCGCCAAGTTCTCGGTTCTGCAGCATCGGCTTCGCCGGCTTAAAATTACGGGACTGCTCAGGGCTACTTATGGCCTCGAGGAGAGGAGCACAGGTCTTGCTATGTTGGTTGGGCGGATCCGGGCTGATATACTTGGCGGAGAAGTCGATGTCCACGGGGAAGTCAACGTCGGTGAAGTCTTCGGCAACACTGATAGCATCGCGTGCTTCGTAGTTTTGCATGCTCGCTGTGCCTAGATTGTGTGCACGAAGATCCTGAGAGTCTGCGAGACCGACGATGGCTTCGCCGAACATAGATTCGTCGTCACCGAACGTATCAGAGCCGCGAGACGTGACTGGTGTTCTACAACGGAAATGGAGCGAAGATAGCTCGTCGGAGTAAGTCGGCTTGTTCTGCAGGGCAGATAGTCCGGCAGTCAAGTCATCAAATTCAAGGTCGCCGTACTCGCTTGAAGTCTCGGGTCGTGCGGCGGTTGAGTGGCTGAGGAAAGACAGTTGATGCTCACCACCCTCGCCATAGCAGTACGCGGGTTTCGTTTTCATGACTGAGTGAAGAGAGGCCGGCATGTCTTTCTTCTGGACATCCTTGTGGAGTTTGTGAAGGTCTCGATAATCTCGTGGACCATTGATGGCATACTCGGGCTTGCGCTTCTTCTCCTGTTGCGTCAAGTCCAGCTCCTCGATAGCGGTCGAAGTCTTCCGCTTCGAGCTTTGCAGGTTTAGCTTCGTTTCTATTCTGTCGTTGCGATGCGCAGAGCTGCTGGGCGGCGACTGGTTCTGATGCTCCCCTATCGGTGCGCGTTTCGGCGCAGTCTTCTTGGGTGGTTTGTCCATGCCATGCTTACAGCAGTAATGTTTGCAAGCTTCTTTATCCTTGCACTTGTGGTTGCATGGCCACCTGCCGTTGGGTAACTGATCAGGCGCTGGTTCGCCATCGTCCTCATTGTTGGTTGCCGGGGCCTTCGAGCAATCTTTCTCTTTCGCGGGATTGTTTTTTGCGGTGTTGCTCCGAGTGATAGCGTCCGTTGGATCCGCAAAGTTGTCAATGTGGTCGAAGTCAAGATCGTCACAACTCGCCTTGACCAGAGCATCGTCGTCGAGATCAGCGTCTCCGAAGTCGTCATTGGTAAAAGACTTTCTCCGCTGCATGGGAGTATTTTCGACTCTGCGCCTGGACATATTTGGTTGGTGAGTAGGTGCAGGCTCTACTGCCTTCGGGGCCGAAACTGGAAATGTTGAGGGTGCGATTTTGGGCGCCAATGTGGCGTCTCGCATACTGCCAGCTTCGTTCAATCAGTACGACACTTTGCATTTGATAAATAGACGTACCGATGCCTTCGCACATGAGGTAGCAGTTGATCTTCTGTTCTGGGCTAGTCAGCAATGCTGGGAAGACCAGGCTCTGACCCATGCCGAGCCTATGGCCGCTATTTCTGTCAGTGCACTGCATACTAAACCAGGACGAAGATGACTCACTTCATCCTCGTGAAGTGTACCTTACGCCCGTCCGAGGTCTCCGCCAACATGCAGACGTAGATTAGGTTTTTGTTAAACTTCTCTGAAGGGCTTTCATTGATGAAGCCAATATCGGCCATGACTTGGACCTTAGCACCTTCTGGTGTCTTGATGACCTTGATGTGTCATCAGTACTGGGTGGATGCATAAGCTATCAAGACTTACAGAAGACGGCTGAATACGAAGGGACACACGAAGCTTGGGGAACGACCTCAGATCCTCAAGAACCTTTAGACCGAAAGGCGGATTTCTGCCGACAATGGTCTCAATGCGTCGCGCGTCTGTGCTTTCCAGATCTTCGATACTGTGAATGCCAGCGTTGACAAGTTTACGAACGGCAACAGTGCCGATATTGGGTACTTGCACCATCTGCAACGGGCTGTCGTCCCAGGCCTTTGATCCCAAACAGCGCTCCAGCATCAGTGCACTATGAATGCTCACGGAGTCACCCAGAACAATCTGGCAGTCGATGATGCATCTAACCAGATTATTGATGGACTTGAAGATCGTGGCCACTTCCTGCTGATATTGAGCCTTGTGTTTGGACATGTCACTTTCCCAGTTGATCTCCGCATGGCCAAGAACAGACTGGATGACGAGCGACACCTTCTGAGCTGGTGAATCAAGGTTCACAGGTATCGGAAAGCGGATAGAGGGCGACCTGTTGATGGTCTTGTAGATACTCTTCTCGCCCTGACGAAAGCGGATCTTTGAAAACTCAGCTGCTTGGGCTACGGCCGAAAGCTGCATGGATCAGCAGGCATTCAAGAAAGCTATACAGCACGACTTACAATCTCTGACAATGTCGACTTTTTCTGCAGGCCCATGAACACCCTCATCGTCTCGAATCGGACGTAGTAGCGTGCCATAGCGTGGCCGAATTCGGTACATCGAAAATACTCTTCTCCTGAGGCGAGGTTGTGCTCCTTCAAGAGAGCGATGTCGCGAAAGCATATGTTGTCTACCTGTTCCTGAATGTCTTGGCCGTTACGTGATCCTTCAAGCTTGTAGTATGACGGATTCTGCTGTAGTCGAACGTACAGGAATGTGCCCATCAGCCACTTTCGGGCTGACTCAAGGTCCCGAATGGTGCCAAGGCCGATCTCAGCGTTCATGTGGTTAACGAGGTTCAGGTGCAGCTTGCTCTCCAGGATGTCTTCACCTGTCACCAGATTCTCATAGCGCCGAACCTTAGTATACCGTGTCATGATGACCGCGACAGCGCTGTCGTCGAACTGAGGTCTACCTGCACGACCAAGCATCTGCATCATCTCCAGATCTGAGTATTCTTTCGTGCTTCCATCCATCCAAGCCGTGGTGTTCTTGATAATGACAAGATGGCATGGCAGATTAACGCCGACTGCCAGTGTTGACGTGCAGCAAATTACGTTGATGTCGCCCTTGAGGAAAGCTTGTTCGACCTTGATTCGATCCTCATGATCGAGACCTGCATGGTGAAAAGCTACCCCAGAAGCGACGACCTTGCAATGTTCCTTGTCCCGCATGTGGATAGCCTGTGATGGAGGATTCCACAGACGTTCTCGACCATTTTTTGAGCCCCACCAGTTTGCTATGAGCTGTGCAGTGTGAAAGCAAGATTTTCGCGTTGCACAAAAGATCATGATAGGCTTCCGCTCCGAGTATTTCATGATGATCTCTGGCAGCTTGGCATCGAGCTGCTTCTCGAACGCGAAATCGTTGCTGTTATTACAGACGTAACCACATACGTACTTTCTCAGCTTTACTGGACGAAATTCCTCACCGAATTTCTCGTTCGGGGCGGAAGCGTATGGCTCCGAGGAGCTCTTTCCCAACCAAGCCGCAACATCGTGGAAATTTGGAACGGTCGCGGATAGCGCGATGAAGCGGACGTCGGTGCCAATAGACTTCATACGAGAGACTACAGCCTCAAGCACAGCGCCACGGTCATCGTTTAGGATGTGGACCTCGTCAATGAGAAACAACTTGATGAGTCTCATCAGCTTCTCATGATCTTTCCATTTCCTGGTCATACTGTCCCATTTCTCAGGTGTGGTGATGATGATATTCGCGCTCTGCACGTTGCAAAGGTCTGTCGCGTTGCTGTCACCAGTGAGCTCGGCACACTTCAGACCAATCTGATTGAACTTTTGGTCCCAGTCGCGCTGCCGTTCGGAACACAGTGCCTTGGTCGGAGCTTGATAGACAACTTTGTACGGGCCCGTGGAATTGGATACAACCGCTCGGCAGATTGCAAGCTCCAGAATCGCTGTCTTTCCGCTACCAGTGGGCGATGATAAGACAAAGTTGTTGTCTGATCTGAAGACTTGGTCGAAACACTTGGACTGGACGGCATTGAAGTTCAGAAAGGGGAATACGGTTCTGAGACGGTCTGGAAGAGCTGAGACAGGCACGAGGCGGATGCCCTGCACAATTGGCAGCGCATGAGACGGACCGTCGGTGTTGATATCTGTGATTTGCTGGAATGGATGACCAATATCGCGTCGTGATGGTTCTGAAGGGCGTTCGACAGTCTCGCGTTGATTTTGGACATTGCCTCTGGCATCCGCCAAGGGCTCATCTGGTAGATCTTCAAGGGGTTGGAGTTGAGATACATGCTGAGAGGCGCCACTATCATACTGTCCAGCCCGCCTCCTTCCAGCGTTCAAAGCGGGGCTTGAGGAAGCACCAAGTGGCACGTCAGAGCTTGACTCGAGAGACTGATGAGCGTTGTATGCAAATCGATCTGCAAGCATCAGCTCCATTTACGTGCTTCGACACAGCAACACGTACTAAGCGATCCACAAATGGCATTAGTAGGATAGACTTGGTCTGAATCGCTGTCAGTACGGGCCGTATAATCACGGCTGGAATATTACCTTCGTCGCCATAGGTGTCTTGGTACACAGGCTGCGATCGTGGTGGTGGTCGCTCGTTCTCGATTAATTCGCCGCCGTATAATCGAGATGGGGCAGGAGCCAGCGACAACCTCCCTCGACCTTGTGCAGCCTGGTACTGGCGATCGTTATACGGTTGTTGAAGCATACGCTGGTATGCGTACCGTTAGTAAAATCCCACCGACCCGTTCAATGGCGCGTACCGAAATAGTCCAGCTGCGCACTTTCGCCATAGCCGTCGTCATCTACGGCGTCATACATAGGGTGATCATACTGTGTGGCACGATACCGCTCTCTCGGGGCGACTGGTCTCGATGGTTTTATGAACTCCGGTAGCAGTGGATTGTACTGCAGTCGTGTAGGCTCTTGCTGACGCATGCTCTGTGTTGCATAGTAGCGCTCATCCATGGTGAGTGCCTGTCGACCGTATTAGACTCCACCTCCAGGCGAAGCGAATTGCTTGTTAGCAGAGGGTGATATGAAATCGCCAGCACGGAACATATGAACGCAGCTTGAGAGATGGCGAAAGACAGAATGAGGCACGAGACAAGGATTGGTGAGCGAGGATCGAAGCGGAGGAAGAAGTTGTGCAGGAGGAAGGAGCGACCTCGGGACCTCATGCGTCACCTACGCGATTAGACCAGCACGCGACTTCCCGAATTATCCGCATTGTACGTGTTAGCTGGTCTCAACAGATACAACAGAGGTGGTTTTTACACAGTGTAGCCATCTCTATGAGTTTACCCATATGCGTGCGACTGCAGGTCATGCATTGAGCTCTACATCAATGGTGACGCACCGCTCTGCTTGAGTTTTTCCAGTACATCTTAACAACATCGAGCAGTGCGGGTCATACGGCTTTCTCAATACGCGTTTGTGAGGCAGGCCGAGAACTGTTGATTACTGCCTACGTCTGTGATGCGTAAACCTTATTCTTTGAAATTGACCTCGAGGCCAGCTGGAAGAGATTGAGCTGATAGCCGGTTCTAGTTCAGGTGTTCCGCTTCCTCTCCGTGAATGGTGCTGCCGATCTCGAAGTGCTGTTGCCACGCGTTCTTGCACCACTCTTCTCGTGCTCGAGTGACGGTGAGCGGCGGCCAATCGTCGTCTTCTCGAAGCTCGCAATCTTCACTGACCCCTGGTGATGATGCAGCTCTGGTTTTGTGTATAGGTAGGTGGCAAACAGGACGACCAATGTACCAAGGAAGAACTGAGCACTTGTCAGTCGTGGTCAGATGATATAGACTGAGACCGTGCTTACCGATGTAGTGACTTTAAACTCGAACAAGGCTACGCTGACGACGCAACTGATGATTATGGAGATGCTGGTAGCAAAGTTTTTTGCAATGTTGTCCGCGTAGTTAATAACCAGCGCAACGATAACACCGCCCATCGCCTGGAAGATGATTGCCGCCCACACAACCCAATTATAGCCTGCGAAGAAGCCTGTCTTCGCGATGATCTCGCCGTCTTTCCAGAAAACGCCCAGGAACAATGCAGGAAATAAGGACCAGAAGGAGAGCTGGCAATTGTGCACCCAGAGTGATGTGTTCTTGCTTGTCGACTCCTTCAATATCTTCTCAAATGAGACACCAGCCAGCCCTGACAAGGCGCAGGATACCAATACAGCAGCCAGACCAACAGAGCTGTCCATCTCTGGTGCGACCATGCCGCGGTCTTCCTTTATGCCCTCGTATGATCCAGAGCGCTTCGTCAAGTGCGCTGCAGCATGGCTGCCGAGTTGTCGTAACGCGTCAAGCGATCGTGGCCAGACTTTGGTATCAGGGATTCGCAACGACCCCATCGTGGTAGGCTCGGCAGAGTACCCTGGCAGCTGCACAATGGATACACCGACCACTAGGACCAGCAGTGACAACCACTTGCGTGACGACAAGCTTCTTCCCAGCATCAAGACGCTGAACATGGCAGTAGTCAAGATCTTGAGCTGATATGTGACCTGGAAAGTCGCTGCGTCCAGGTTACTGACTCCCACATATTGAAGTGTGTTCTGCAAGGTATAGAGAAGGGCGGGTATGGCAAGCTTCCAGCTTTCATTCGTGAACATTGCGCTTGTGAGGCTACAGAAGAGGGTCGTGACGGTCGTGTTCGGTGGGAGAGTCTTTGAAATATCATATAGAGCCTAGACATCGTTGTCAGCGCATCCGGCCGCGACGGGAATGCGGCAATCTTACCATTGTCAAGCTTATGCCCAGCTTTATCACTTCGTTCAGGAACACACTAGTGCTCGTGTGATACCGCTGCCCGCCAACGACAGGCATGACGCGCGAGTAGTGCATGATCTAATCGCATGTCAGTCATCGTCCCTGGCCTTGTGCTCAAGTTCGTCTTGTTCGCTGCTCGTGCTTAATCGAGGAATCGGGTCGAGTCGCGCAGCTGGTGCGTGCCGAGGCACGTGGAACGTCATACCAGAATGAGGGCAGAGTTTTGAAGCGTGAGCTTCACGCGCGTTAGTATCATATCCCATAATGATATCAGCCTGCAGGGCGTACCGTAGTCAGGGACAATCGCTTCATTGATATGCCGCCCAGCGACCCTGACGACGATCTCCTGCCACCCATGGCGCCTGACGAGCCGCACCAGGCACCAATCCGATTTGTTAAGATGCGCGAGGGATCCACAGATGTACAAGGCTCTCAAAACGCTGCGCGATAGGAATGAGGCCAAAAAAGGAGTGACACGAGTGTGAGATGCTGTGCTCGCCAGGCGTACGCGGAAGATGGATTACCTGTACGAAGTGCAGTAAGCCATTGTCCGCCTAGCTAAGGTAGCGTCACCCCAGAGCAGATGCATCGCGCAGGGGCGCGGCGATCAGTGGGCCTCGCCCTGCGCGTCACCTCGACACCGTTTCCATCACCAAAACGACTTTGACTTCACGATACGCCAACCGATTCTTGCTCATTGAAAGCTGCTAGCACATGAGCGGCCAGATTGTACTTGGCCGTTGTAGCCCGAGCTACCGCATAAAACACCACGACATCGTGTCAACGGCCTTCAATGTCTTGGACTACTTCGTCTCCGATGCACCTGGTACAACCATTTCGAGACAATGGAGGCTACCAACATAACGAATTGTCTAGGCCTATATTGCCATGAGAAATGGTCGTGTCAACGTGAGGGGTTACGATGCTCATGATGTATGCAACCGGACTTTGAACCCACCTTACCCGTTCTGTCCGTTGAAGAGGGATGTGCCAACGATTATCTTCTCACACAATCCCTTCATTCTGTTGTTCACCTACGGCCCCCAACAAGTCTCACCCTCTCGAAGATGTCATCGACTACCCTCCTGACCTTGCCACGCGAGCTGCGTGACATGGTTGTCCGATATGTCATCGAGTCTCCGCAGCCAGAACTCAATTGTGATCAATTGGTCTACTTCTCGGAAACCTTTGCCGTCGCTTCGGCACGTACGCTAGCTCCTGCTAATCTGTTCTGGAGTTGTCGTCAGCTGCGTGAGGAAGCCTTGTATTTCACGAAGTTCTGGGACAGAACACCAAGACTCGAGATCCATATCAGGGAGATGTCGACTATGTGGGAGATTTGCACAGCTTGGAGCTTCCCGCCGAGCGCTTGCGTCTATTCCAGAAATCGGAAATTCGACTCCATGACCATCGACCTGAAGCCACGAAACAATGCGCAACACGTGCATTTCACTCAAGGGCCTGACCTACAGCGTAACTATCCCACGAGCCGGTCACTCTGGCAAGATGACCTCTTCACTTGTTCCGCCGCGGGCGACTTCCTAGGTTACCTCGTGGGTAGGGCAGTGCAGAGATTAGGACTGAACGATGCCCAAGAAGAGATCTGGTCGGTAACTGGGTCCCCGCCGGCTAAAGGCCTTCCGCAACTCCGACATGTATCCCGGACTCGACACGATCCGAGCATCGTTCTCAGACGCCTCTACCTCAACATCTGCCGAGACGAACGACACCCAGACGAGCAGCTTCCAGATATCGTAACACGCGGAATACGGGGAGACGTTCTGACCTTCATGTACCGCTGTGTCTCTTCCTCTATTTCGTGTTGCCCGGAAGCCGTTAAGATGGTCGATCAGGAAGATGGTCTGAAACAGCTGATGTGCTACTGCCAGCATCGACTCATGTGGTACACTCAAGTTGGCAACATCACTATTACAGAAGGCTCAGACCTGCATTATCGAATTAATCTAGGGAATATGTTAAGTAACGACATCAAAACCACGAAAAGCGACCCTTGCAGAAAGTACCTTCACAACTTGATGTCTTTGCGAGAACGCCGCTATCTGGATTATGTACACAGAGCAGGCATTCAACTGGGCTTCACTCGGTACCGACCTGAGCTCCCCGCCGGTACGTAATCAGCATTGCAAACTCTAAAGTTAGACGCTGATGTTCTCAAGTCACGTTCTTCTAGACGTGGTCGATCGTTCCAGCTTACATTTCACCTGCCTGAGCGAGACCCAGACGGACCAAGCTCGGAAGGCTCAGAAGCGAGCTCATGTGGCGATGGCCGGCCGTACAGTTCCTGTCTCTTTTCTTCAGATCCCGTCTCGTGTATCGGGGCCGTGCGGTGCGCTTCTGCGCTGTATAAGACGACGGGTCCATGCTCATTCTTCGCCTCAGCTGACGTCTTTCGAAGACGGCGTCGAAAGAACTAAAATCTTGCAGCACCCCATGCAATTTCAACTACTGCCCCAACGACGGTTCCAGCTATGACTCCTCCCAGCGGCTATTTTGAATCGTCGTTTTGCGTGCTATCCGCAGGGCTCATTGCTGCGGTCGGAGATGTGGACACAAGCGTGGTTGCTGACGTCCCAATTATTCGTGCACTCGACGTCAGACTTCCCACGCTCGACGAGCTCGACGAAACGCCGGCACAAGCCCAGTGTACCGGTACACGCCTGACGTCCCGTTTGGGAAATACCATCTCCGCCAACTCCATTTTGAAACGCCATGTTCGCGACTGCTCTCTTACGAGATTTACAGCAGAGAGCTGCTAGAGTTACCGCCAGCCGAAGTACAGCTCTGATCTCTGCACTGGCGACGATGAGTGATGATGAAAAATATGGGAATGCCGATCTATCCATTGGCTTGCTACATCTGCAATTCCAGAATCCGGACGGCCTACGTCTCTTCTACCGGCTAGGTGCGTGCAAAGGCGCATCGCCGTGCAGCTCGCCGGGGGGCGGCCCAGGCATCTCCGCAACGTGAGCGTATTTGACTGCCGAGCTCATCTCTTGCCTTGCTGGACCCGGGGAAAATGCTGGAGCCTCTGCCGGAAGTGAATGCTCAGCAGTCGGTGGCGCCTCGTAGCCTGCCTTCTTCTTGCGCAAAGCTCTCCTTGCAAAGAATAGCGCTGCAGCAATCAACGCCAATCCTGCCAACGCACCAATGACAATTCCAGCTATTGCACCCCCGCTAAGTCCCTTCGATCCTGAACCATCGATATTCACTGATGTGGGTACCGCAGATGCGGCGCCAGATGCGGAGGCTTGCGAAGCTATCGATGTCGCAGAAGATGTCGCAGACGACGTCGCGGACCCAATGGAGCTGACCACACTCGACGAGACAGCTCCCAGAACCTGCGCCAACTCCACAGGCCTGACATCCGAATCCCCACTGCAACAGTCCGTACTGTCGCCACAACACCACTTGGTGCTGTTCTTCGTTCCATCGCATGGCGTGATTTTGGCTGTGAGCTCTTCGTCGCCAGTCGAGCACACGTTCGCGCATTTCGTTGCTTCGTCTTCTTGCCCATTTTCTGTACAATAGTCGACGAACTGTCACATGTTAGACACCTTCAGTACCATACAGAGAAGAGTCTAAGCCTACCCAAGTCGTTATCCGTTGTCCCCCATTACTCGTTATCCTGTTCATGCACAGTCCGTTCGGTAGGCATTCATCCTGTGTGTAACCTACCGAGATATTGCCATACGGCGGGTTTGAGCGTGCAAGTGCGCAACATGTGGTGACCGGTCCATTCTCAGCAAGACAAGGCTGGTAGATATTCCATGCCGGGTCGTTTGGCAAGAGAGTACCATTTGCAAAACGGCATTTGCCCTGTGCGGCTGCTAAAGCAACGAGCGGTGCGATCGACAAGTAGCGGTAGGCACGCATGGTGGTTGACAGGGCCCTGTTTCAGAGGAATTGCACAAAAACCGCCTGCAAAGAACACGACCGGCAGCCAAATAGCAGGAAATAAGTGAGAAAATGAGCGCGCAGCAGAAATCCAGTGCACTGGAGGCATTGAGAGTTAGATGATCGCGCTGCACAAGCACAACCTTAGCCGCGGTACCTGGGGGCCAAAGCAGGCCTTCAACCTCAACGGTGTGCCTGAATGCGTTCATTGGTCAGCGCGCACTCTAGCATTCAGCCACCATGCTTCCGGTACGAAGGAGACTTTAGTCTGTCAGACGGCAGGCTCCGTCTGCTGGGCCGTTACAGGGACCGTGCACGCGAAAACCACCTGCGGCAACCACCAAAATGAGGCTATAGAGCCACATACAATAGCTATTATTGCGAGATTTTTTGTTGCAACAGTCTAATAAGTACTACGGTGCTTGTGCTGTTGCCATTTCTTATTTGGGCGTGTGGTGCGGCCACTGCGGGTGGTAACTGGTGGAGGTGCTGGGGAAGGTGACCCCTCAACTACAACCTAAGTAGCACCACGCACACGCTTTTTTTAGCTGCTGGCTCTGTGGGCAGCTTCTGTGAGGCTTTGCGCTTGCCTGTTTGGGATAGCTGTATAGATTTAACTGCGTTGCGCTCTTGTTTCTTTTGTTCTTTCTTAGCCTTTTTAGCAGCCTTACTCTTGGCTCTCTCTTCCTTCTCCTTTGCTTGACGCTTACGCTTCTGCTCCTTCTCCTGCTTATCTTGAACCTTCTTCTCAGCTTGCTTAGTCTTTCTGCAAAGCTTTGCAGCAGTCTTCTCTGCCTAGGCGCAAGTATTAAGACGCAGTTGTTGCTAGGCTTTGTAACAACGCTCTACGAACAGTGACCCGATACCACTAGGATACGGTTCCAGCGACTCATGACCATGGCCCTTGTCGCATGGCATAAGCTTGCACTAAACTGCTACTAAACCCTTATATATAAGGAGCAAGGAACTGTAGCATTATAAAGTAGTTTTCTATATCCTTTTGTATAAGACCTATAGGTGTAGAGAATATATCCTAGTGTTCTTATCATCCTAGCACTCCTATATGCTGTAACAACGCTCTACGAACAGTGACCCGATACCACTAGGATACGGTTCTAGCGACTCATGACCATGGCCCTTGTCGCATGGCATGAGCTCACACCAAACTGCCACCAAACCCTCATATATAAGGAGCAAGGAACTGTAGCATTGTAGAGTAGTTTTTCTGTATCCTTTCGTACAAGACCTATAGGTGTAGAGAATATATCCTGGTGTTCTTATTATCCCAGCACTCCCATATGCCTCGTAGCGGATTCACACCTATTCCGGATATCTCTCTTCTTGCCTGCGTCGTTACATTATACAGAAAAACTCGTCCCAGCCGGTGACGGCCTCTAAATAATATCGCAACTTGTTTGTTTCAGATTACGCCCAAGAACCTAGTGGAATCAGAGTTGATTCACTACACACCGTTACATCTAGCATTCAGCTACAGTCAGGATACCGGAGATCTCCTGACGACCGAAGCCTTTGGGTTTGGAACTTCTGAGACGATCACGTCCAGATTACTTCGGAAAAGACGCGTCAGATAGCGCCAAGGTAGAGACTAGGAGACTACCAACAACCCACCTGAATCGGAGATAATACCGATGTCAGGCAGCAACACCCCTGGTTCCAAGGAACCCACAAGAAGATCAGCCCGAGTTCAGAGCGCAGCAAATAAGGCCTCTGAACTACCCCCTGATCGAACCTCAGCAGCAAAGAATGCGGCTGAAAGTGATCAAGAAGCGGATTCGGACTCAGATGAGATGGACCTAGCAAAAGTAGTCGCAAGACTTCGTGCTGAAATCTCCCAACTGAGGGCTTCCCAACAACTATCAGACAACCCGCTACCAACCACCGAATCAATCCCGACAATGTCTCGACAGCCATCACGGTTCCAGTCTGAGACACCCCTAGACTACGACATTAGGCGGAAACTTTCCGAACGTACCCCAAAGATTGATGATCTTGACGATGGAACCAGTCCAACCTTCAAACAATGGCAGGCCTCTATACAAGACAGATTGGAAATTAACGCGGATCACTATCGGAGCGAGCGCGCTCGAATGGCCTTAGTATGGGGACACACGACAGGCCTAGCCAAAGAATATCTAGAGCCTCAGTATCTGGCCGACAGTCCTTCGGAGTCATTTCGGGACGCTGAAGAGATGATCGCCCTTCTTAAGTCCTATTTCATCACGGGAAATGAGAAGGCTGAGAGTAGAGCCGTATTTGACCGGCTTACTATGGACAAGAACGAATCATTCCCTGCGTTCAAAGCTCGCTTTCTCAGTGCAGCTATACGTGGACAAGTACCCAGAACGGAGTGGTTCCACTACCTGTGGACTAAGGTTACCTTGGGACTTCGTGTGCCCAACCTAGGTTTCAAGAGGCAGTGGAACGATTCGTTCGAACTCATGGTAGAGCACTTAACTGCGTTCGATATGGAGCGGAGCAACCAACCTGACCCTACAGGAATATTTGGACGTTCCGGTGCCCCTCCGACGCAGAACCGAAATCGTTTTGCTTCAGACACTGCCAAAAAGGTCACACCTTCTAGAGATCACAATGCTTCGTCATCGTATCAACGTCAGCCAAGCAGAGCACCATCCGTACCCGCTCCGAGGGCCTTCTCCAAGACCCCTGGACCTGTCAAGGAATCCACACCAACACCAACACCTAGTAACTGCTATAACTGCGGTAAGCCAGGACACTACGCCAATGACTGCCTAGTCCCACGCGTACGCAAGATTGAGTTGGCTAGTGATGAGGACCTTGTGGACGCCTCCGAAACACATGACTACAACACCGACAACCACGATCGGACGGGAAACGAAGAAGCCTGGGAGGAGTCCCCTTCCCAGG